GGAGGAGATGAGGAATGGTTAATTTTAAACCCTTAACAGCCTTGTTACATAATTTTCAATTGCAATGTTACATTGTTTTCAACATTTATTCACGTTTGAAACTGCATTTTTTTTTTCATATTTGAAGGCATAATGTAAATGTTTGCACTTTCTCATATTTGAAATAGTGTTCATGTAAGCCTCTTTTGTCATATTTCTAACTATGTCACATGATTTAAACTTGCTAGGTTCGCTGCCACCACTATTATTTTAGACTTTATAAAATGTTTTCCCCTTAATTTCATTAAATTGAAAATGCAGTTTCTTTCTCTCTTTCCATTTCTCCGTCTTTCTGATACACTTTTCAATCAGTATTCGTGTCTCTATCTTCTTTCTTTTCTTCGTTTCTTTTAATGTCGAGACAAAAGCAACCCTCCTCGGCGGAGATTCGAACCCTGGTCTCCTGGTAGACAAGCTGGGACACTCACCGCTATAACTACCTATGGCACCCTCATTTTATTGCAAAGTTATATTTAACAGATACATGTATGTGACAAAAGTTTTAATGGTTTACACACAAAACGCAGCTTGTGCACGCCATGGACACGTTCAGCAGCCGAGAAGCGAGATGCAGAAAACGTGAATTGCTCCATTCGTTAACTTCTCATCCCGAGCAAAAGGATCATGGATCCGAGTTTTACGTAATGCAATTAAAGTTAAAGGTGAAAAGGGCAAAAATAATAAACGAAAAAAAAAAAGGAATGGGAATTATCACAGTAAGTATAGGTAAGCTACACAACTATAGATGGTCAAGATTTTATTTATTTATTTATTTGTATCTTTTTTTAGCGTAATCGCAATTTTACAATAAACACCCAGTTTCTGAGACTTTTGATAAAAAAATTAATTGAAGTTAGCTTCATTACAAAGGACTTCAACATAAGTTAAGGACCACCTTGACAGAGAGCCCTGTTTTTTGTTGTTTTTTTTTATCAAAAAAAAAAAAAAGAAAGGAATTTTTCAAAATATTTTGCTCTGAAAGTGGTAATGGGTTACCAATGCGTAATACAAAGCTTCCTAAAGGGGCAAAACCACCACGGGCAGCACGGAAATCGTCGGGGAACTGTAGACAAATTTACTGTTTTTTGTCGACTTGTGTGCGACACCACGGACATTCCTCAGTTAAAATTTCATAAACGGACTTTTGGTCTCGAACTGTGTTCATTTTGGTGGCAATGTAAGCCGCCATTTACGCAAAATCCAGTATCGCATCAACATGCCACCGAGACGAAAGCTGAGAGACTTTGATCGTGCCAGAGCTATGGCATGGCTGCAGGATGGAATTGGAGCCCGAGAAGTTGCCAGAAGACTTGCACTGTCACGCTCTGTCACTGTCCGCCTGAGGCAGCGCCATCAAGCCACTGGATCTGTCCAAGAACGCCCACGTGCAGGCCGACCCAATAAGACTCCTCAGAGTGTTTGCAAATGGTCCTTAACTTATGTAGAAGTCTGTAGTATGATTATTAACTTGCGAGAATGACTAACGAATGGCTTTGTGGAATTTACCCAAAGGGAGACGATCTAGACAAAAAAAATTTGTTCCGTCAATTCACAGTGCTCTCCTTAATACAAGAATCTTCTTCTTTAGCCAAGGAGAAGATGGAGTAATTGTGAAATTATCATTATGCCTATGCTGTATGCCGCAAAGGTCTATAGGGTTGAAAGGTGTCGAAGTTTGAGTTTTAGTCATTATGAAATACAGACTTTCGTTTTCGGGATGACAGAGCCTAAATCTTTCCCTGAAGGTGTGTGTACTACGCTTCGGGAAATGCTGAATGCTCAGCCAATAAATCTTATAGTCTTTTCCACATAATACAGATATATATATATA